CAGGCATGTGTTCCAGCAGTTCGAAAATGACGGTTAGAAATTTATTCGAAACTATGACCTAGGACAGGCATATCCCATATTACTATTTCAAAAAAGAAAAACAGACTCCTTGCTCATAACTGTATATTTTCCAGTCCTGTATTCAGATTGCCGGCAATTGAGCTCTAGTGCACGGCACTACAGGGTACGGTAGTTCTCGATTACGGAACGATATGGTTGACGGGGAAAGGTAGTGATCAGCTACGAGGTGATAATGGCGACCAGGGTTCAGTTGGTAATGGAAAATCTCGATAATGAGAAGACAAAAGGCATCAGTTTGTACAAACAAAGAAGAGGAACGGCCATTTCAGATGAACCGCTTTTCTTTTTCATTGAAGGTACCCGTGAGACCCAAAAGGGATTTCTTTAAATCCTTGACAAAGTCTTTCTTATGCAGTAACTGAACCCATGTTACCCTAGTATTGACCGACTCTTGCGCACATTCGGAGCTGGTGGCTCAAAATCAAAAAGAATTGTTCAGTTGATACCATCAGAGTCGTAAAATCTGTCAAAATATCAAGTCAGTGAATCATTGGGTATTCGTGAATACAACTTGTTTGCTTTGATCAACAACTCTAGATTCATCACAAAACTGTTGCCTGAAAGTTCCTTCTTTGCATGATCTATACACATTTTTGTATAGTTCTTTTTTTGAATTGATTGCTTCCTTCAGTTTTTTGAACGATTCCTACATTTTTTTGTATGAGATATAAAGCCAAAAACTTCTTTTCCCAAGAAATGACCTCTTTTAAAAAATACAACCCTGTCAATTTAGACGAGATTCTTTTGACTGGGATTCAATCAAATAATTTAATGAATGTTATTTCGCACTGTCATCGATCTCATGAGTAGATTGACCTCATTCCGTCGTAATTTCATGAATTAAATGAATTTTTTTTTCGTTATTTCGTTATTCGAATTTGCTACTGGAGAGCTAATAAGGCGAATGTCTCAAACCGAAACATCAGATGTCTACCATTGAGAATGACTGTTTCATGTAAGGTGAATTTAACCTCTTTCATTTAGTATATTGTTTAGGAATCCTGTGAATGATATCTGATTCAATTACATAACGAAAAACTCAGTAGAGAAGTTATATGATGGAATTGGCCGATACTTGATGAAAATCCATAACTAACGTATTGAAAAACGCAACGGCTTCACCCGTGTAGAGTTTGGTAATTGTAGTACTAATTAGTACTATGTTGCTGTATCGCTGCTGTTTCAATGTTTTGACAGAATCAGAATCAACGAACTTAGGCGTGCACAGCGTTATAGGACAGTGTTTTAAAAAATTGTTCTACAGCGCCATCTAGTGGTGAGTTGCAGAAAAATGTATAGCCTATAAACCTTCTCTATGAAAAATTACTCATACATGTCAAATTTCACCATGATCGCTCGAGCGATGTAGAAGTTTATCACTTACCAACCAACCAACCAACCAACAAACATCCATTTTTGTATATTAGATTTCTTTCGCTGGGAAATAAGCGAATGAATGTCACTACGCACTGTCATCGATGAAATGAGTAGATTGAACTCATTCCGTGACAGTAAATATGTAATAGTATTGTAAATGAGCTAAAGAATATATCTGTTGATAAGTTATTCAAAAATAAAATAAAGAAGTGGATTGTCAGTAATAGACCCATACCTAATCAATATAATTGTCAAGCAAAAACTATAGAGAGAAAAAAAACTGAATTACACCTATTACAACTGATTACAAGTATGTGTGTATGTACGTCGTGTTATTCAGTATTGAACGACGGTGACGTTACCCAGAAAATATAAAATCAACCGGATTGTGACTTAAATATAACTGATTTGAGAAAAAATGAGAAAAAACCTCAAAACTAGAATGCGATCAATAGTATCGTAGTTGTTTTGATACGAAGATACGTAGGTGTTAGATATTACATTTTTGTATCGATTATGTCAATTGTACTCTTATATTAAACTTATTTTGTTACTGCCTTCATATACACATATACAAGTAGCTTTTGCATTTCCCCTACAAAAGTTCGAGATACCGCACTATACATGTTCTTACTCTGAAGTGGAGTTACTCTGAAGTAAAGTTACTCGAAAAACGCACACAGAAGTCAACCAAAAGGAGTATCGGTAAAAAGCTCAAGCCAGGAAGCAAGTTCATGAAATATGAGAAGAGATTCAGGAGGTGTATGAATACTGACTAAATATGGGGTATGCGAGCACGATATGTTTTTTTTTCTTTATTTGGGTCGGAAAACTGCACTGAACACGGCTAAAATGTAGAAAGCATCTCTTGATACGCGTTCGGAGAGGGAACGAAGTGGGAGTTTGATGGAAGTTTGCTGATATGAAGAAATTCACACTTGATTCGTGCTTGTGGATGTGATGTAGACGGTTTGAGGTTGGGAGGATGAAAAAAGGTAAAATTACAACAAACAAACATATATTACTGGCATCCGGATCTTGCCAAGTCGGCGGTCGGGGATTCTCTTAGCTGTTTGGTCAACGGTTTGACACTTGACATGTTGTTTTTTATGAACAAATCATTGAAACTGCAATACACAGCTCAATAGTTGAAAATTATTCAGTCTCTCAGTCATTTAACATGAGAACGTTGAAATTTTCAAGTTTAAAAAAAAATAAAAAATTGGAAAAAGACGTCACTATTTTCATGACATGATTGTCCCTCTAATACGCGTATTATGATTTCATTCTTTATCCCAAATGTATCAGCTTGAAAAAAACAGTTTTTTCGTGAAATCAAACAGCTGTCGCCCTCCTACAAACCACAACTCTCGAAAGTCCAGATTTGTGCAAACTGAAGATTAACAATTCCCAGCACGGGTTGGACGATAGTCAGTGAAGCAACGGCCTATACGTCCGAACTAACGTTTCACCTGGAAGTCGATTGAATAAGTGGAACCCGGCTACCGTCCAGACATCTGAAAATTTACTCTTCCGAGGAAAAGAAGATAACATTATTTTTACATTTTACCTACTCTTACAGGCACAATTAACCGCCCACCTTGTATTTCTTTAAATTTTCAGAAACTTTCAAAAAAGTGTCTCAACGGATGCAATTAATGAAAATTTTCAATGAAAACTTGACAAAGTTTATCGTGACAAAAGTGGCGTTTCTCAAAAAAAATCAAAAATTAATAATGAATGTTGTCACGTTCAGCCCTAAGGACTTCTTGGAGTGGGTTTGGTAACCCATCCACGATATTCGGAATATCCAATTGGGGGATATTGTGCCATTTCTCTACCACAGCCGTCTTGAGTTCTCCCAGGGTCATAGGGGCTGTTACTCTACCTCTTACGTCTTTTGAGGTTGTCCCAAATGTGCTCTATCTGGCTGAGATCGGGACTGCATGCCGGCCATGGTAAAACTTGTATCCGACCTCATTAAAGTACTCTGTGACGGATCTTGTGGTATGGCACCGTGCATTGTCATGCAATAATCGAAAGTTGTCACCAATAAACGGCGCAAAAGGTATGACGTGGTCTTGAAGAACCTCTTGCCTTTATCAATCACGACAAAATCAGTACGAGCCTCATAAGAGATAGTTTCCCAAACCATTAATGAACCTCCATGGTAGCTCACTGATTCTGTTATAGCGCACGAAGCTAACCTTCCATTTTGACGCCTGTAGACACGCTGACGTCCAACTGAACCTCTTATGGCTACTCCGCTCTCGTCTGAGAACAATACGTCCTTCCATTCCTCCACTGTCCAGTCAGCATATTCTCGTGCAGAAGCTCCACAACTGCGAGAGCAGTTGTGGAGCACAAGCTGGACGGAAAGCCCTCAGATTTCTTTCTGCCAGTATTCTTCTAGGTACGCTTACTCACCCCACATTTCGCACATCAAAAAGACGTGTACGCACCTCTGTAGCGGTTCTGAAGCGATTTCCTAATATGTTGCTGAAGACAAAGCGGTCATCTCGAGTAGAAGTGCATCGATGTGGGCCTTGACCTGGCCTGTAGGTGTATGAACCCGTCTCCCAAAATCGTCTGGTCGCATCCCGTACCATAGTTCGAGAGTATGAGCTATGTGACGTTGGTTGGTTGTATCCAGCATCAGTCAAAGCCACTGCCCTGGCATTTTTTACAATCACAAACAATGAGGGAAATCAAATTAAACAATACTTATACCCTATAGCAAAACAGAAGAGGAAATGATAACGCAGCAACACAACTGCAACAAAAACCCGTCGGTGACACAAATTCAGAAGATGAAATAAAGGTATAAGTGTTTAATTTTTGCTAAAGCACTCACTCCAAGGAAACAAAACAATTGAAAAGCCATAGTTAACATAAAACATACAGGGCGACGAATGATATAAGTGGGCGGTTAATTATGCCGGTGAGTGTAGTTTCTTGAACTATTAATAAATTAGCAATTTTCCACACACCTAACAGATTGATAAGGTAAATAAATAAAACTTGAAACCACAGTCAAGTTTTTACTGACCCTAAAAAGGAGCAATTATTTTTGTTCACTAATCGTTAATCACTCGGCAGTTTAAATATTCTTTACATCTGCTATAGTGATTCAGATGGTTAATTTACATTATTCATATCATACTTTTACTCAATTCATATAGTATTCACATCTTACTCATAGTGTTTACAATGAAACGATACTATCATTTCTATCATTACTTTTTCCTACCTTTCCACTGAAGCTTCATCATTATGTATAACTCGATTGATGTATAACTCGTTGATTATCACAACAACATCTTTGTTTATATTGGAGCAGGGCGTCCGTCAGTTGAACTGTACGTGAAATTACCTGATTCCACCTTTAACACCATGTGACTGTCATATAAATTTCACTGAACTATTTTTTCTCGATTACCGGAATATTACAGATTGTTAGAGACTGCCCTAAAGTTTGATAACATTATCAATGCAGCTCAGTACAACTGAATTCAGATTCCTAACTAATTATACAATTTCAGATACCAAAAGTACTCTCCTTCGAAAATGGGAACGTTGGAGTTAATTTTCTTGGATTCAAAGCTTCAGCTGGCCTTGGAGGCGGGCTACACGCAGAAGCAGAAACTCCTTTTGGACAAGCTGCAGGAGCCGGCCTCGGAGGATACGTAGACGAACATGAAGGTAGGCAATTATTTTTTTTCAAATAGAATTGCCTCTAAAGTAGTGAAGCAACACAGGTAATAAAGTGTCTTCGAAGAGAATAATCAGTTGATGACAATAGAACATTGTTAACTACCACTTCCGGTATACATAACCGAGAGAAAGTGAAATTGCTGTGGAGAATGAATCCGCTACATAACTGAGAGAAAAATCAAGAATATATTCATATGAAAATAATATATCGAAGCTCAGAAGGAAGCTAATGAAATATACAAATTGAAAGAAAACATGAAAACAAATGTTTGAAAAATTAAATAATGTAATGAAACACATTAAAAACATGGAACTTACCTTACTGAATAAGTGAAGAATGGTTCTCAGTGGAAACTTTTGTATCAGTTCATCAGCTGAACTTTGTAGTTTGTAGTTACAATAACAAATATATGATAGTCAATAGTTCCACTACCATACCAGACTGCAAATCATTGATTCAAATCATTTTTGAAAATGCTAAAATCAGGTTCTTTATTCGAAAAGTCATACAGGATACTGATGAATAATCAATGAATAAAATATTTTTTTGAGATTATCATTATGAAATTCATGTATATTATAATATGGTATATTACTTAAAAACCCTTCACAGACTCCTTGAAGAATTGTAAAGATTTCATTTCTTTTGTATTTTTTTGGAAAATGGTTGACCATTTCACAACCATTATGCATAATGGAATCCTTTCTGACTGATGTCAATGGTATTGGCAACTTAGTATTCTTGGATTGCCTCGTCACATAATGGGTTGGTGAGGATTGAAATTTGTTCAGATATTTTTTAATCAAACACAATGTTTTCATTATAAAAATAGAAATCACTGTTAGAATTCCATAAGTGGTGAAAAGTAATCTACAAAAGTCTGTAGGTTTCGATTTGCACATATATCTAACTGCTAGTTTTTGCAAAATTGAAATAATTTGTAGTAAATAATCACTACATACACCCCAAAATGGCATTCCATATATTTGGTGAGATTTCACCACAGAAAAATGAACAATCTTAGCTGATGTTAAAGTAAGTTCATTTTCGACTACTCTGCATTTCAACCAGAGGACACTTTGTTACACAAGACATGAATATGGTCTTCAAATTTTAGTTCACTATCGACATATACTCCTATAAAATTCAAACTACTTCTGTTCTCAACGATGTCATTTCTAGTGAGTATATTGTCACATCCAAAAGGTACGTTATGAGTTTTCGAAATATTTAGAGAAGGACGATTCATATCACACCAACTCTTCACTTTCGTCATATCGTTGGATATGATTTTAGTTAAATCATTTGCATTGTGCAATTCTCAAATAATGCTTGTATCGTCTGCGAATAGTGTGAATTTTCCTGAGATATTTATACCTGTCAAATCGTTGATGTAGATGAGAAACACTATTGACTCCAGTATCAAACTTTGAGGCACACCCTCATTTATTTTCCACTTTCTAAGCGATGGTTTGTTTTTACAAAAAATCGATACTGATATATGTTTGAAGTTAATATTTGAAGTTAAACAGTTCGTCACAAAGGAACTAATTAGAGACGTATCAAATATATTTCGGAAAAATGATCCCAATAGTTTGATAAATTTTCAGGCAGGTCTGCTGGTGGTCTGTATGCAGGAGCTACAGCTGGCGGTGGAATTTCAGCAGGAGCAGGTCTGGAAGGAACAGCAGGAGCGAAAGGATCATTTGGCTCTTCGTATGCAGGAGCAACTGCTGGAGGACTCACTGTGTCTAAAGTCAAGACTGTTGCTAAACCTATCGTAGAAGTAGAATTACAAAAAGAAGTTATTGCACCAGCAGGTAAACTAAATTAAACAACAGTAAAAAGAGTATTACTATATTGAAAAATTCAGAATGCAAATGAACATTCAAATAAAAAAAGAGTTGAATTATCAAAGACATTCGGAAGAGCTATTGCGAAATATGATGAGGAAATTCAGGCGAATGTTAACAAACTGTTAGAAATACACAAATGGAAAATGTTTCTGAAATGTATAAGTTACATCGATGATATCAATACTAGTAACGTTACAACACAATGTTTTCTGCTTATTTTTCAGATTCTTCATATTTCTGAAGTTGCATTTGTTTCAAATAACCTTAATTACAGCTTTTATATTTATTTTCATTCCTCTTCAAATTACTGTGGGTATTTTGTCTACCTGATATCATTTTCATACGGATGCAATTAGCAAATTAACCTCATTTTATAACTGGTGGATGGTCAAAGATAACGGAATAGTTATTTTTCATGCACTTCCATGCTTAGCAATGGTTTGGTGGTGCTCGAGGTTTGGTGGTGTTCGAACAAATGTTATAGAAATCAACCATGTCACAAAGATATATTGAATGGAATAAACAGACTAGGAAAGACAATAAACCCCAAATTATTTCTATGCACAATTCACTGATGTAAATGAAGTGAAGTTACGTGAATCTACCCTATGAAATTTGCGTAATGCATTGGTTTCATTCAATTCAAATTTATCTTCTTGTTTGAAAGCTTGTGGATGAAAACTTGTTGAAATGTTTTTCAACCAGTATTTCATATTTGTTCGAAAGTGACTATCGATTTTTTAAAGTGAATTCAACTAGTTCAGACTTCTATTGTCCAATATGATTCTAATCTGATCTGAAATCTCTGAAACTGAATAAATAAGATGGAAATGAATAGCTTTCAAACTAAGTTACTTCACGAGTTTTCGATTGAAAGTATCCACAATCGTCATCCTCCACAAATATTTCTCCGAGAGATGACTATTTATATGTCATTCGATCGCTTCCTCCTACCCCTCCCTTTTCTCTCACTGCTTCAGCAGGAGTTGACTGTTTTTCTGCTAGCATACAGGTTTTCGTATGTTGAGTATCTCAACGCTGGCTTAGCTGAAGGCGTTGTTGGACAACATATATGCAGCTTCTTTGAACTTCCTTTCGAACCACTGTTCCTCCCTATGATTGATCTCAGCTTGAGACCACTTGATTATTTTGATGATTCCAAACATACTCTGCTATTTTCGATTAGTTGGTTTCTTCTGGCTGTGTGTTTCTTTTGTGCTCGACAATGCGGACTTCCAAAGACCTTTTGATATCACTGACATAGGAATAGCCGCACTCATGAGGTATCCGGTGAATGCATTTTTTGGAATCGCAGTCCACGTTTGGTGGCCTATTTTTCATGAAGCTGGTGTTTTCGGACTTAAAGCCACTTCTGATGTTGAACCTAATTCTCATCCTTTCTGACAATTCAACGACGTAGGGAAGTGCAAGGGTTGTGTCGGGTTCTCTACCTTGTGAGGCTCTTGACGTCCTCTAGTCATGATCGGTTCCACCATCTTGTTGGAGTAACCATTCGGTTGAAAATCTTTCTTGATGATGCCTAGTTCGTGCTCGAAACCTTTCTTGGTATCACAGAGCCCGAAAGTACGATTCACTGGTGTCTTGATGATCCCTCTTTTAGTATATTAATGGTGGGGTCGATCGTCATTCAGGTATTTCCCCGTGTGTGTGGGTCTTCGGTACACAGATGATTTCCACACAGTATCGGTTCTCGTCACTAATACGTCTAAGAATGCCAATTCGTTGTGGACTTTCTCCATTGTGAAGTTGATGAAAGGTTTTACGCTGTTGGTGTGTAATTCGACAAACTGGTTTGAATTCTTCCCAAAAGATGAAGTTTTTCTTCAGGTGGTTGTATAATTGAAAGTGAAAGTTTTGAGTAGCTGATTTTCTGAAACCAATGATCGATCTGACCAGAACACCCTTACTGTTTTGCAATGTCAGCGATGACCTTTTCTTTTCCAGAAAATGTATTTGGTGCTTTTCATGTCTGGTACAATTCTTTTCAATTGATGCAGTAGGTTTTCGTACAATCTCTGTGTTTTGTCCCTTCTGACGAACATCTTCAATCTTCTGTTCATAGGGATCAGTATGCATCAAAACAGTTATGTTTCTCTTATCTGCAGGTAGGATCTTGATGACGTAGTCTCTTCGCAAGCCGTTCAGATCTCTTCGTTCTCCATCGCTTCAAATGCGAAAGGAAATGGGTAGTAATCATTCTAATATGCATCAAACACATAAGAAACGGAAAATGTTGAAAGCTGACGGAATCACGACGACATTTATGAATTTATATATTCAATAAATTCATTCCAATGGATACAATAAAAAAGTTTACACGGTTGTGGTGATTCATGTATTCAAAAATAATTTTGAAGTTTGAAAGACAAAATTCCAATATGCAATTCTTTCTAACACATAGTCAAAGAACGGTAGTCGCAGAAGAGAACGATTTTCAACCTTGTTGAAAATATCATATTTTCCATAATTTATTATCAACCAAACTTACTAATTCAAAATGTATTGTTATAGTTTACAAAAAGCGGGTAGAAATTTCTTCAGCGCCAGTGGTACACGAAATCGTTGAAGAAAAACCACAAAAAACTTACATTGAACGAACTGTGATACCTCAATACGAAGAAAAGACAATATATGTGCCAAGTTACGAAGAGAAAGTTGTTAGAGTACCAACCGTAGTCGAGAAAAAAGTGAAAGTAGCAGTTGCCCCCAAAGTAGTAGAGAAAACTGTTGTCAAACCTCCTGCCGACGTAGATTTTGAAAGAAGGTAAAAAGAAATGAGGAAGTATATAAAGTAGAATAGAACTGGCCGAAACTTATTAAAATTTCATATTGACAGCAACTGATACAATTTTTTGAAAGATTTTCACTAAAAGGGTTTCACAAAAACGATAGCACGTGTTTGGATGTAGTTGCATTAGGTTATTCAAGCGAGAATTCATTCAATTACCACCTGTTTCGACATACAATAACTTCCTCAAGCGTTTTCATACATGAGTAGGAGGAAGTTATTATAAAGCAAAATACATATTATGGTTTTGTAAGCTGTTCAATTTAAATATCACAATGGAGTGTTACTGGAGTTCCATCAATGTTAGTCTAATTCCATCACATATCAATGTATTTCCCTCCCGCTTGAGAAAACTATAGTATAGGGAAGCAGGTATAGTGGTTTTCATGGAATCACGTATGAAAAAATTTGGTGATATAACGGATGAAAATGAAGCATTTCTCTTGAATATTTTCAATTACTGGTGGTTGAGAGGTAAATATGTAGAGGAATTTAGATACATTTTCATTTGCGTAATTCCTAAACCACATAAAAATGAGGAGGATCTCTCTGCATTCGAAAGAATGACAAAAGCCTGATTGAAGTGGCATTGAATAACAAGATTTACTGCCAAGCGGTTAGTATGGATTTCGCAGGGGTTTGGGTACAAGTTATGCTCTTACCAAAATAATCACTGATATTCAATTTTCATTGTCTTAAAATCAATATATCGCAGGTTTTCTTTGATCTTGGAAGTATATATGATATTGTCGAATTGGGTATATATAAAGATAAATTGAATGCTCCTGGGGTGTCAATGAATGCATCCGCTAATTTAGTTGAATTATATAGATATTCATCCCAAAGATCATAACAGTGTTCAACACAGTCCCCGTTTATGTAGAAGTGGACTTCCACAGGGCTCAGTATTGGGTCTATTGCTATTCAATGTATATACCTCTTTTGGAAGTTCAATCAGGTGTACTCAATATGACGATGACGTTTGCTTTCATACTGTCCATGATTCATATGACGAGTGCGTTAGATAATTGAAATAAATAATGTATATTCTCAAGATGGGTTAGTAGAACATGGCATCTATTCAGCAACAGAGGAGCCGGCTGTGTTATTTTCCATAAGACACAAACTTCCAAAAATCGAACAATTGACACTCTGCGGTTACAACATTCCTGTTCTCAAACATTACCTGTTCAAAGTACCTGGGACTGATACTAGAACGAAAGCTTGAAAGCTTCAGTGCACTAAGCATAGAGAATATGTGAAAAGTAAATGTGAGAAATTATCCATAAGCTCAGATGTGCATAAAAAAAGAGATGGGGAGCAGACCCTGAAATATCGCTCATGTTTTACCTACATTCACTTGATCTTGGATTATAGATGTGTGTTCTATGGTTCAGCAAGTTGAACTAATTCACTCAAACTAGATCGCGTTCAGTACAAGGCAATACGAATGAATCTTGGCTTGATGAACTCTTTTCCATGTCTTTCTATACTGGCGGAGCCTGTTGAACCACCGCTAGATTTCCGAAGACACTACTTAGCAGACAAAATGATGAATGGAATCAGATCATGTACTATCGTAACGCTAGCACATAGAGCTGAACTCAATACTGAAAACCTAACTATTGGATATTGGCACAAAAAACAAAACCCTCCTTCAGCAAATGCATTCATTGCCATAAGTTGATTAGACATTCACCAATAGAATAAATGGACAATTTCTGATTGTGATTTTGATATTTTCATACTCAGATCGACTGTAATATTCCTTAGTAACAGAGATAATTCATACACAATAAAATTCTTTTCAACTCATTACTGATCAATTACACGAATGATACAATCATCTATAGGAGAAGATGGTACAGGCTGTGCATTCTTCATCTCTAACACCAAAGAAACGCACAAAATTCGGATTTAAAATAATTGCTCTGCCTATATAGCAGAAGCTGTATCTATCGAGAGAGCTCCGCTATGGATTGCTAAAGGAAGTATTGAAGGTGCCTACTTGATAACGGACTCGAAATTGTTTTTTTTTTCATCTTTGAATGACTTTCAAATAAACCTCAAACACGAACTGATATGCAACATTAAAAAAACTTTGACTAAATTATCAAATCACTGTATCGATATTACCTTCATCTGGACCAAAGGACAATGATGTCAGCTTTGTCTCCGCGAATCAGTTATGTAAAGACTCAACAAAAAAAACAGTGGAAAAAAAGATGACTGACCTTTGTTCATCCAAGCTACATCCAGTATATACTCCTACATACCCCACTCTCAGAGGAGATTCTTCAAATTTTAAAATACAGGGTACCTGAATTTTATTCTTCTATCATCAGTTGATTAAAATTGAATCATGTATGATTTTCATCTCACCTAGCAAAAATTGTCATTACAAATTCTGATGAATGTTTATGTGAGTGTATCAGTTGGAAATTTGAATAACATTTTTTTCGAACATGTACATTCACTAAACATTCAATTTCTCATTGTATGTTTAGTGAAATCGTAAGTCTACTATCACTAGAAACAAAATACGACGCTATCACGAAAAAATGTGAATTGGAAATATATGCCCATTCGAAATGTCTGTGGAAAATAGAATACATTCTAATGCCAACCCCCCTTCCTAATAATCATCATGTTGGTGAAGGATCCAAGCAAGCAAGCAAGTGAAATTCCAATGATGAAAATTTTTTAGTAAGTTGTATCAGTTATGAGAAAGTATATTGATTCTACAATTATTGACAACGGTGAAATATACACAACGATATACAGTTTTGATTGAAAATTCAATATTGCCTCAATACATTGTGAGATTGAATATTTTTGAACAGAGTTCATTAATATTTTCGTCAGTAGTTTTTAATGAAACGAATAATATTGTTTTCATGAAAGTGGAAAAATACTTGAATGTATTACTGAGTAGCTGCTTAATAAAACTTAATGATGAATGAGAAAGATCGTTTCGAAATAGAAATATATTGGGTCAACATGGCAAAGAGCACTCTTACAAATAATTACCAGAATAATCATCAGAAAGTTAAACAGTTATAAGTGATCATATAGCAGTTTTCATGAATTCTCAGTTTCCTTCTTTATACCATATTCCATGATCGCAATGATTGACTAAATAATTTAAAAAAAACTTGTTAAAATATTTTTCATATCTTCAGAATCCTTTTGATAATTATCTTGTGTTTTTCAGCGTAGATCATGTTGTTGAAACAGCAGCACCACCAGTAGGTGTGATCACTGAAACTAGAACAAAATATCGCACTCGTCCACTTTTCAGGAAGCACTTGTAAGTTACTAACCTTCAAATCACTTCCATTATGAACTGAAAAAATATTCTCGAATGAATTATGTACCTATTAGAAACCAAATATTTCGTAATGATATCATCTCTCCCAACTACCTACACAGTTGGTTTTGGTCAATGCCTACTGAAAAACAAATACTTCCCCGACTAATACCACGCTGGATATTGAATTATATCCGACACACATTTATGCAAGACACCTCTCGAAGGTTGGTCTCGCAGATGTTTCTCGTTCATCCAGCAGGATCATGCTGAAATTTTTGGAGTAGATCACCTACAGGCCGGTTACGAGGTGTTAGCTTCATCAGTGCAGGAAAGATCGACCCGAACAGCAGAGTGTCTTTGTTTTGATTAAATTCAACAAAGCTTAACTGCATGTATGAAACCTTCATCTGAAAGAAAAATTGTTAATGAGTAACAGCTCCATCTCGTGGACACCGGCAGACATTTACCAGAACCTACAGTGTAGGTAGTTGAGATAAGAATATTTCGAGATTTCATTTCTAAATAATAATTTCCCAGTACGTATGTATCTCTCTTCATCATTAGTAAGACAATTTTTGCTGAAATACTGTGCACACAGCAGTCAAAATTTCATTCTTCAATATTTGAATTACTGGTAGGTTCATCTTCACTCTCGTAATTGAACACTATCTTCATCTATTCTATTCGTTGATAACATTATGAAAAAATGCTCTGATGCTCAGATGAGTTTCAGTATACATTCTCTGAGGCGATTAAAAAATATATTGTGAATATATTTTATTAGAAAGTATTCGGCTGGTACTGGTTTATGACGTGAATACTTTTCAGATATCTCAGTACAGATGATGACTGATATTATGTAACATCCATTAAATGTTTTAACCCGATATCACTTCACAAAATTTCATACTGTTTATGTTTTATGTAGCTTTTTCGGAGGTGCTGGTGGTTTAGGAGGAGGTTATGGAGGAGATTATAGGAGTAATGTTGGTAGCTATGGTGGATATGGCGGCGCCAGTTCATTTACTGTCTCAAAATCTGGTAGTGGACAACTTATCAACGATATCTTCAATGTAAGCAACAGTTTGGAATACCATAAACATTTTCATCATCAAGTTTGGAATGCACGGCAGACAAAAAAATAATTATTTCACCATCATCATTCTTTGGTAATATTTCATATTGCTATCAGCGAAACCATTTCACTTGAGAAACTGTTTGTAAATAACTTCCATGACCTGCTACTTGAAAAACACAAATTTGTTCAAATATAGAAGTGTGAAGTATTGAAATATTTAACAAATCTGACAGAATTTGAGACGTTGACAGTCACTTTATTTATGAATGAAATTTTCCTTCATATTATATTTTCGGTGAAATTGATCAACTAAAATATTCCTCACAAAATTTATGAAACTGTCCAATCATCATAAACTCAATATAGACGCATTCTTCCATTTCCTATTTCATTCTTATGTCTCATATTCTGCTGCTATTGTGTCGTTCTATTTTATTCTACAATCTCCAATCGATAGAAAATTCGTTCCGATATAAACACCTAGTTTCTTGACAAGTGGAGTCTCATCAATACAACACCACTTTCTTTCTCCTCAAAATGTTATTTCTTTCATGTGGTTAACATCAGGATTGCTTCGAGATGAACTGAATAGGAAAAATCGTCTGGAAAATAAATAATATTTTGGATTTTTTCGATTTAGGAACAATTATTTCAACAAATGAGAAAACGAACAAGACTAATGTTTTGTTTTTAAACTCAATTCATGTTCAAAACAAGCACTTTCCTCAATAACCAGAAATAAAATCATTTCGATGCGCGTTTCCTGAAGACGCCAAATTTGTTGATGGTGGAAGAGTCTTTGGCTAGAAGACAGCAAGAGCCTCATAAGGAAAGGAAGCCGCCACAACCAGTACTTATACTTCCCTACATCAGAGAATTGTCGGAAAGAACAAGAAGAATTGGGTCCAAGTATAACATCAGAACCTGCTCCAGATATGGGAGGACTATCAGTAGCAGCTTCACGGAAACCAGGCCACCATACAGCGATCCCAAAAATTGCATTTACCGGACCCTGGTACATACATCGGTGAAAGTAAGAGGCCATTGAAAGTTTGCATTGCGGAACACAAGAAACACACAGAGCGAGGAGAAACCAGCGAATCATGAATACTATTTCGGTGCTTTGGGCGAAAAAATGAGTCCACGGAATATTTTCTTTCCCTCAAAAATATCTAATGATGAATCTCATGATAACTGGGTGATAACTGAAGACGATTGTGCATACTAACAATCAGATTCCATTAATATTTCAATTTTTTATTTTTTTGGTTGTTGCTTGTATATAATTTTTTTGTAATTTCAGTTTTTTGTTTAATAAAATTGTTATTTTCGGTTAATCTTTAATTTTTTCCGGGATTTCAAATCAATTTATATTATATCAGACAATGGAAGTCCGAACTGATGAAATACACCACGAAACATTGTCAACCACCTTCAAACAAACGATGCATATATATATGTTTAGTGAGAGGGTTGGTGAATTTCATGACTAATGCCATTAACCAAGAAATGCATGCAGTTTGAGGATTTGCAGTGCTCATAAAAAATGATTTCAAATATATGTCCCTGTATGTCACAAAGTCGTTTTCGAAATTATAATGACTCAATTCAGGTCTAAACATAGTTTCACCGCATACATTTCGATGATATCTCTCCTTGGACAATGATCTATGCTTCAGTTGAAAAAAATAAAGGGCATTTGGCTGCAAATTTTACAAATAATACAAAACAATCTGAATTCAACGATCTACTAATACTACGTAAGAAATCCCCGAATCTGGAATGGAAGAATCTACTGTTAATATCTGAAAGAACCATGTCTGAGATATCAACCTCATCTTTTTCAACAACTAAAAAACGAATGACATTTATTTAACCTACTTCAGATTAGAAAATAAGAAAATTTGAGGCCGGTTACAAAAATCTACCTATCGAAGAGCCTTGTTGTCTGTACAGACCAATGTTTGAGGACAGCACCATAAAATATTCCCTAACATACGATGAAGTTGATGATTTTTTTTAAACGTTATTGGCTCACCTGACTTTTCGAGTGTAGCAAAATTCCAGAGCTCTGACATTCAGGAATATCTCTTAAGAAATAATCAGAACTGAAGTCGAATAGTGACATAATGGACAGTGATACATCATTGGAAAACTAATAACTTATACTACTTAATTACCTACTATATTTCATGTTGATGTTTCAATAGCATATTATTATTTCATATCGAACCATATTCTCGTATAATATGCAGAAATCATATGGAACCTACGATAAACTCTCTTTCGAAACCTCTCTAACACTGTACATATGGTGAGCTGTTCAGAAAATGAGATGAATGTTGAAATTTCGCGGGCTACGTATATTCAATTAGTGATTTTTGATATTTTTATGTTGTTGCACTCGTCTCGAACACAGTTTCAGCTGTAGGTATATCATGTTCAGTTTGTCGGTGGAAGGCATGAAAAGTAGAACAGATTTGCGTATTCGGCGATTTTCTGCTGTAGAAAAAAAAAGTTTGTCTAAAAAATGGAAAAGCTTTCGAAAAGTAGCCTCTGTAATTCCAGCGACATGATTGTGTCAAGACATATTGGTGCACCAATATGTTGATTTTATCCTCCAACAAACTTATCGACACAGAAAGCGGAGTTGTCTGTCCTTCATCTCTTTAGAGAAAACCGATGCCTGAGTTTTTGTGATATCGTATTGAACCTGATTACTTTCACCCCGATTCGAATTCACTTCTAGATCATTATCAAGATATGCAACCTTCCGCTGCCGGTAAAGCTGTGTATCTGCAGCCGATATCCTGGAATCCAAATGGAATGAACAGGCAAGTGTGCTATGGTCAGCAAAGCAATATTTTTGATAGGTCCAATGAATATTGAAACCGTTTTTTTTATATTTTCATACTACCTCTGAATTCTCTATATTTGAAGAATCAGTTGGCTTGCGTTGTTGTTAACAAACTTACAGTAGTAAAAAACAAAAATGGAAGTCATTTCAACACCCTGAGAGATATTATTCTCTTTCGTGACCACATGAATTTATTTCCTTCCACATACTCATATTATTGGGGTTGTTCAAGAACATCACATCAATTTTAGTAGTTACTGGTTGATAAGATTCTGATATACCACTCACGCCTCTTCTATGTAGCCGCACCCTCAGTTTTCAAATTCTTTCGAGACCCCTATTGGTTTTGGAGTCCCTTATAGCCCCACAACTTCAATTGACTACGTGAGATCTGATCTGATGTTGTTTTGATCAATCTGGAGGAGAAATGTACGATGTAGGATCAACCTGTTATCGATCTTCATTCACTAACTTTTTTTGTGACTGTTTTGTTATATTATGTTCAATACTTTATGAAGTTCAGTTTTCATTCCGTTATCATTCGATTATTTATCTCTTCATTTGAGAAAACTACTCAAGTGAAGGTCAGATGAAGTTTTCGTATAATGAGAAAAATAATATTCAACGAAAGTCATTTTTTGTGGAGGAAAAAATTCAGATTTTTATCGACCTTTTTTGGGTAATTGTTACCTTCCACAATCTGAAAAAATATAAAAATTATAATAAGAACTTTATACAAGTGTAGAAGGGCAAAAATGCTCTAAACGTGAAATGAATAGTAAATTTTTCATAGTTAATTACCAGTGATTAGAATAAGATATAACCTCAATCGTTTATAGAATTATTTTCATTTATTATAGTTATTTGAATTTATTCCATTACCTACCATCTATATTTGATTCATATTTCACTCGGAAATAAATCTGAAATTCGTGATTATTCAAAATTTCTTTTATTACAGTTTGAATCTACCGCTACTCTTTTACTAGAGTTTGTATACTAACCTGTCTATTAATTCACTTTTTTTCCAGTTACTTGTGAATTACGGCATGCGAGCCAACGTTTCAATGTTAAAAACATTCTTTTTTAATTGTAATTTTCCATATATTTATATGAGAATTAGATAGTGTTTGTTCGTACCGAACTACTAGCGCTGCTAGTAGGTGATTTTTCGTACTTCAGGAAAAAGGTTCATTGAATCAGAAATCAGTCACAGGATGTCATCCTCAATGGCGGACATCCGATGTTTCTTGCCTCGTTGCCTCTACAGCACCAATCTGGATTACATCACGAAATGGAGCACTCAATTCATTGATAAAATTACGACTTTATGTCATGAATGAGTTGAGTCTACCCATGTCATCGATGAGAGTACGTAATGACTTTCATTAGCTCATTTGACTCAATTCCAGCCATAGAAATCTTGTTTAAATTAAAAGGGATATATTTTCAGGAGAGGTAAACTTTTGGGAAAAATGGTTTTGGTTGTCTACTTATACATCTTCATTCAAAAAAAAAATGTGGGAATCTATCAAAAAAAAAGAGAAGAGAAATCAATTTCATAATGAACTATTCACAAAGACGTGTAGGAATCAATTGTTTTTTTTGCTTTTTTTTCTGAAAGAAGTCCACATTTTTTGTATGGAGACGGAGAAGTGGAAAATCAAAACGTTGGTTTTTCATAATATGTATATTTCTTTACAAGCGATATCATCAAATATATTAAAATTCTTTCACAAAAACATTGATTCATGTGTCGGAATATTACGACAGATTCATGTCTATTATTTTTATACAAACTTNATACCTATCTCAACACTGGGAGCAGTCAATAGGTTAGTTGGAGGGTTGGTTGGTGGTACCAGTGGATCCTTCTCAGTGTCCAAATCAGCGAGTTTGGGGGTAGGAGCATCCGGTTACTAAGTGATGAGTGGTTGAGGATTTGCGATATTGTCAGTATTGTTTCGAAATTTTGGAATAAAACGTCCGATTTATTACTTTGCATTCCTAAAAACTCTATTCAATTATTCTCATCAGCTTGGATATAATTTCTAAATGATTCCTTCCTATAAATTCGTGGAATTTTATTTAATTGCCTCACAATAATAGCTAATTTGACAGATGGAGTACGAATCTTGTTCAAAGGTCGATGTATGATGAATGATATTTTTTTTGGTGAATAATTACTTACTAAGATAAAACGGGTACTATGAGAAACATTCTAGAGATCAATTTTTCATGTTAATTACTGCCTTTTGTGACACAATGGTACACATTATTCACCTGTTTTTCAACTGTCACAATCACGAAACAGTAAACAGCAGTATGTTTGTATATCGTAGGGTGAATACTACAACTAGGTAACTACAAAGCAGCTGTTTAGGGGAAAACCCAAATTGATATTTCCTCACGATTTTTTAGAATATGAAGGCTCTATTTAATGTCGTTGTACTTAGATTTCTTGATTTCACTTATTCAGCACTGAAATATTTTTTATGTTGATTTAGATTCATAATGTTCATATATAATATTTTGTGGAAGAATGATGTTTATTTGTTTTATACTCAATTTGGGAAATCAGGCTCGTAAATCAATTGTTTATTTGCGATCGATTATTGTATTGACAATAATGAACTGCAAAAATTGTTTCAGTATACGATGGAATTGGTCCATACTTACTTGATGAGAATCCATAAGTAACGCTTTTAAAAAAAACATTGCAAGATTTTCACTAAACGATTTTACAAAAACGCAACACGTATTTCGCCATACAATGGCGTCTTTGGGCGTTGGGCATATTCAAAGCTTGATATACCTTATTCTACAATTTGAATTACCTACATTTCAAGTACCTAATTTTTACCTAAGTTTGTGATGAACTAAATCACATGAGCTTATGTCCCAGTTTCCATATTTGAAAAAATACTTAGTAAAGGCAAGTTATTCAATTCTAATTGATCGTTCAGTAAATTAGCCAAATTTCTGAATCTATTGATTTCTAGAAATTCTAGAATGTCCTTCTGCTGAAAGGTGGTTTGCAAATATGTAATTGGTCTTTTTATTTACAAAAGTACTTCTATGACCTTTAATTCTCTGAGAAAGTGTTCTCCCTGCTTGGCCAATATACAGTTTTTGGGCAAGAGCCACAAGTCAGCTTATATCCTCCTGATCTATCCGACACCAAAGTTTTGTCTTTATTGTTTTTAATAAATTTACTTATAATATTATTCGTTCTGTAATCTACGTTTACACATTATTGCTTGGTTTACCCAAATATGACAATGTCCTATAACTGACGTTATTGCATCTTGAATTTGGGAAGACCAGATCGATGGCTTGCTTTTGTTGTTTTTTGGAAAGGATGAAGTCTATAATATCCACCTTATAACCGTTCTTCATTGCGATTTGTTTGATCGAACTCAGCTCTCTCTCTCTCTCTCTCTAGAAATTACTCTCAGACAGTGGAATATTCAATAGTCTGTGGAAGATAATACTGAACGCAGCAACTTTATGCTGATAAGGTTGTGCGGAGAAATTATGAATGATAATGTCCGTGTAAGATGGTTTGTGGAAAATTGCAAATTCATGTCCATTGTGTCTCACAATAAAGTGTTTTTTGAATACGTTAATACGAGATTACACCAACACAAAACGACATGAAACAAAATAATGGTTTTATCTGTGATTCTAATAAAGTGGTGTCTGTTTTTTAATCAATGGCAGAAAGAAAAAGAATGAAAAAACAGAAATTCATTCAGGTGTGTTACGTACCAAATTGAAATATGCATTAATAACGCCATCGCTCAAAGGTCTTGTTGAACATCTAAAATAGTTGGATGATCAAAATAAAAAATGTGTCCATATTCTTTTTCATGTTCAACGGAAGCTGTGGAGTTTTTTATATTCAGTTCCTTAGAGTCTCTCATGTGTTCTGAAATTCGTATTTGAAGATACCGTCCGATTTGACCAACATAGCCTTTGTGACAGCTTCCACAGTTCAATTTGTACACTATATTGGATTGTATTTCTTGTGGTGCTTTTGTTTTTTTTTGTTTCGAAAAACTGCTTTCCAACTGTATTTTCATTTGAGAAGGTCACTTTAATTAATTCGGTTTGATATTCCAAGTTTATCAGATATATTTTCTACAAATGAAATTTTGTGATATTTGGGTTTCACCCCTGTATTTTGGGAAAAATGTTTAGCATCATTGAGGTGATTCATAGATTTTGGTTAGTGTATGTCTAAATGAGCAGTTTCAGTATATTCCAAATTATTATTCCGGCTCAACTGATTGTGATTACACTACAGACTTTTCATCTATCTCTCAAATTTAAAAAAGTCTTCATTCCTTCAAGAACAAATTCACTCTTCTCATCAGAAACAGAATAACAGAAAACTGAATTTTTTTATATCGACACTGGTTTAAAAAGTAAATGATTCTGTATCAATTCGACTAGATAGTCATCAAGATAATTTTGAAAAAAATAAAAGTAAGTATTAGACAATACTGATCAACAGACACTTTGGCATTCTTTCGCCATCGGATGAAAATCACTCATCATGCGCATCGACTTCCCACCGATAACAATCGATGACAACCGAACCACCATTGATAAATCGGATTTATTTGGAACTGAAATTTTTTTTTCTAATTGTCACGATTGTAATAAATTTGGAACTCGTTCCAAAGGAAACACTTGTAATATGTAATTTATATCGTATGTTCCCTTTTGATAATTTTTTTTACTAAGCAATGCAATGGAACTGGAATATCTTCGGATCATTTCGAATTACATGCAAAACTTATCCTGGGATGTAGATGACAACACCCTGCGGAGCTCTATCTGAAAATGATACAGATTACTTTCTGGTTCAAATTGAAAAGGATTTATTTGTAGGAGAGATACGTTTTGAAAGAAAAAAAGGTTTGTGGCTCTACTTTTATGTCTCTTAAGGAATTGTGAGTGACAAAATTCCGAAGGAGAAATGAGAAGTCGCAAACCTTTTTTCCAGTTTCAGGTCATTTAATAGGTATTCATGTTGTTGAATGTGTGAAAGATTCATCTTTTCCAAATTCCAAAAACCATCAGTAGAGGTTCAACCAAATTTAGAATTTCAGACATATTTCACAGGGTGATGCAGTTTAAGCATAATAAATGAATATTCATTTTATTAATGATGGGAACTGCATTATTATCGTTGAATTTGTTCCTGCCCAAAATTGTACTGGAGTTGTTAGTTGCTTTCAATGCAGTACATATTGAGATGAAGTTGACAAGAGCGATGAGTATAGCATCAGAAAGGCACAATAGAAAAAGCAAGTGAAGTGGATACATGAAATAGTGGAATATTTCCATTGAAGTAACGAGAACTGGCGTTCCTTTATTGAATTTTTGAAACATATAATATTGTTTTCTATTCATTGAGGAATTCATCTGAGGAAAACCCCTAAGACGTGACAATATACCAGGACTATCAAAATTATCAAAATCAAGAAACTGAATCAGATACAATGGAAATTTTTCTTCAGATCATGACTATCAATAGTCGTTTTGAACATATTCGAAAAAAACTAGAAGTGTCGGATGATGTCGTTTATTGGCTTCACCACCCCCATTCAAAATGATGTGAAGATTGGAAAAAAACATTCTTGTGTTATCTCATGTTTGTTATGATATGATATGGAGATTTGTTCGAAACGATCTTTTGAGTTTCAGATGACATCAACTCATTTCTTTCAATATCGACATCTAGTTTTCATTTTCATCGAATTCACTAGCCAATATAATATTATGTATCACAACATAATATGTTGTACGTATTTGTATGTAATATGTATTTCCCGGCACCTACTTTGGAATATACAATGAAACATTCGATTACAAGGGTATCACGTTTTGTTATTCAGCCGGTACTCCGAACATTCGTAATGGAATTGAAACAGATGTAATTCACAGTAACGAAAGTAACGCAGTACATGAAAAATACTGATACAATATTTCACTAACACCAAAATGTCAGAATCCTGGTGTGTACTTTGAAGTTTATTGACGACACACTAATGGTTTGTCATGGTTCAACAACAAACAGAGTTATTTAAAATATTTCTGGGGAAAATCACAACAAAAAATAGCTGAAGATGAATTATTAGATGGTAAATATGATCCAAATAGAAGGACATCATATCAAAAATAGTGTGTACTATAGTATAACATAGGATTGTATGATTTGAGGGAGTTCTCAATAGAATGTTGTTCAGGACACAAAAAAAAGAGTGAGAGAGATTACGTGGCTGTGGTTCTCACCTGAGTGTATGTCGGCTCCAGTAGCTCTCTCTTGTAGAGAGACATCTGGTTCCAGTAGAATGATCGTAAGAGAACCCGTTGGATCACACAACACTAGCTGGCCAGCAACTATCCTGATTTTTGAATAGGTTGTCGAATTACCTGAGATGCTTTCTGTAGCAAGTCTATATATCGAATCCCTTTGTTCTACTGCTGTTTCAGCGACCGACCAAATATATTGATAGGCGGAGCGCTCCATATATTAATCAGAATAGAAAACACAGCTAAAGTTCGCGTTAAATACAAATTTTGCAAATTAAGTGAAAATCATCAATAGAGTACACAAAGAGAAAACTGAAAAAAAAACTCGTGAAGACGGAACAAATATGCAATGCAAATTTATAGTTCAGCATAATTTTCAAGATGTAAATTCACTGAGTATAATAGTTAATCTGATAATACGGCATTTCGATAATAATCTGGAAAAAATTATGATGCTTTATGATTTCAAAGATATAGATGATTTGTCTGAATTTCTAATGACATAAGAAAGACAAAAAATGAACTATAGTAATTTACAGAATAGAGCAAACGATAATAACTTCAAAGCTATGGCTTGTCAGATCATTTCTGTTTATGGCTCTTCAGCTTCCTGAAAAAACGTTCCCTGCAAGTGGCTGTCCATGGATATATCTCGAATAATTTCACCATC